GAATAACAAATCACTTACTCTTTACAGTCAATATACAGAAACAAATCAATGTTACTCATCAATTTTTAAGCTCGGTTTCAAGTCACACCGATACTGGAAGAAAGCATCGAATGTCCATCCATGAACTTCCAGTACGAGAATATAGCACCTAAATATAAAAAAACACACCTCTGTTCACATAGCTTACCTGCAAGAGTCCGCAGTCACTTTCGAGATTCGAACCCACAGCCGTAAAGTGCAACAAGCACTTCATTTTCAGTGGGTAAAAGAATTATACAAATATTTTAGCGGAATATGAAAAAGGAATAATTGTAGTCAATTCCACACTTTAATACAAAATTAATACATAAAATTAGTATAAAACAATGCACTAACAGTAATGTTTGTAAAATATACAAATTTGTGTATAAAAGGGACAATATAGAACAATAAAACAATAGACACTGCATTAATATAATTTGGGGTCTATTTGTTCATTAAACCTGCACACCACCAGATAAATATATTCTAAACTAAAGAAATTTCAAACTACATTTTTGTATTTCAAAATATCAAATATGTTTAAAAATAAAAGTTATCCACCTTCAATAAGCAAACTTTGAAGAGTTGATACACATTTGGCCAATTTTTTTTTGAAAACATGTATCTGTTAATGTTGCAGATGTGCAAACACTTTACGTATGCCCAAGTGTTGAAGTTTCAGCAGCTTTAGACACGGAGAAGCCATTTCATCAGACATTTTTAGTCTTGAGTGGAAATGCTGCAGAAATTAAGATTAAAAGCAGTGTCGCAATGGAGGTCAAAGACTTTGGATTTGATAAGGAAGTTACACAGAGCTCATTTCAGAGCAAGAAAAATCAAGAAGAATAAACGCCACTGCAATTACTTCCGAAATAAAGCGGTTATAACTCCTGTATTAGTTTTAGGTAGGAAGTGTTAATAAATATTTATTCTCACCCTGTGTATAAACAATACACATTTAATATGGCCCAGGCGAGGTAGGCAAGATGCCTATACAGAGCAAAAATGAATAAACAGTAATAAGTTCAAAACAGTTTTGCGTTTTGATCAAATAAAGGATGTTATTTATATGTTAATAATATTTCTCACATGAAAGCACCCTAGCATAGACAATCCTGTAATTATAGCCTGGTTTGCTTGAATCTGCATCTTTAGTGTCTGATTTTGAAATCTGGCAGTAAGCTCTTGCTAACAAACTAGAAATGTGTCCATAGGACACGGATGCCCCCACACGCCATTGTTCTGTCAATCTTATGACTCTAGGTCAAATATTTTTTGGACTACATGTGCCACAAGTTGAAAACTAAAAATCAACAAAGGGCCATAATTCTGTTAAATTTGGTCCCAGCAAAAATTCCTTCCTTTACTACCATCTACACATTAAGGTTGTTAATCCCTGGAAGTTTAAGCAAAATCTGCCATCCGATTTAAGAGGAGTTGCGTTCACAAAATTTCTACATAGTATATAATGAAAAAATAAAAAAAGGGCCATAATTCTGTTGAATTTGGTTGCAGCAAAAATTCCTATCTTAACTACCATCTACACATTAAGGTTGTTCATCCCTGTGAGTTTAAGCAAAATCTGCTATCCGGTTTAAGAGGAGTTGCATTCACAAAATTTCTACATAGTATATAGTGAAAAAATCAACAAAGGGCCATAATTCTGTAAAATTTGGTCGCAGCGAAAATTCCTTCCTTTACTACCATCTACACCTGAAGTTTGTTCATCCCTGAAAGTTTAAGCAAAATCTGCCATCCGGTTTAAGAGGAGTTGTGTTCACAAAATTTCTACATAGTATATAGTGAAAAAATCAACAAAGGGCCATAATTCTGTTAAATTTGGTCGCAGCAAAAATTCCTTCCTTTACTACCATCTACACATTAAGGTTGTTCATCCCTGTAAGTTTAAGCAAAATCTGCCATCCAGTTTAAGAGGAGTTGCGTTCACAAAATTTCTACATAGTATCTAGTGAAAAAATCAACAAAGGGCCATAATTCTGTTAAATTTGGTCCCAGCGAAAATTCCTTCCTTTACTACCATCTACACATTAAGGTTGTTCATCCCTGTAAGTTTAAGCAAAATCTGCCAACCGGTTTAAGAGGAGTTGCGTTCACAAGATTTCGGGACGTACGGACGGACTGACTGACGGACGGACTGACGGACGGACGGACGGACAAGTGCAACGCTATATGCTCCCACATTGTGGGGGCAAAAAAACTTATCTTCACCTCTGAGAATATTGGAAGGAAATGCTACACAAATTCAGATAAAAAGGAGTGACACAACGGATAAGGTGAAAGACGTAGAATTTGCTAAGGAAGATAAACAAATCTCATTTCAGAGCCTAGAACTGTTGTGTAGTGAAAGTTCTGTCACTATAAAAATGGAAATCAGTAATGAAACAAGTCAAATATTGGAAGAAAATGCTGCAGAAATCCAGATTAAAAGCAGTGACAGAACAGATAAGGTCAAAGACTTAGGATTTGATAAGGAAGTTACACAAAGGTCATTTCAAGATCCAGAATAGTTATGTGGTGAAAGTTCTGCACCAATAAAATATTAGGAATCAGTTGTTCCACGCATACAAATTACTAACATTGTGTTTGGTGACTTGATTGGACATGGACTAGGTGCATTTGGAAAAGTTTATAAAGGGGAAAGGTAGGTAACAACAGTGGCGATTAAGGAGCTGCTTGTGAAAAGAATTAACATTGTTAAACCAATAACTGAAAGAGAACTAAATGTGCACAGTGACCTTGTATCGTGCAACTGATGGCCATGGCCGTCAACAAAAAAGTTGTACCTGGTAACAGAAAAAGTAGTTGGCAATAATTTGGATGATGTAATAATTTGTTGTGACAGTTCAGAAGCTTTGAGTTAGACATTGCTTAGAAAATTGTCCAAGCTGTAACATACTTGCATAATCAAAATCCCCCCATTATACACAGAGATATTAAACCAGAAAGCATACTTGTTTTAAGAGATCTTTCAATAGTTTAGTTGTGTGACATGGGTCTCAGAAACTGAAGTCAATGTACACTGTTAACAATCACTACTTTATGGGAAATACAACCTGGTACTCCAGTCTAACAGCCTCCAGAAGTTCTTGTTCATAGGCAAAAAGAAAATGTTCAGTCAGACATCTTGAGTCTATCATGTACATTATTAACAGACAAAGAGACATTAAGAATTTCAAAATTACTACGACAAAATGGCCCTTATGGGCTTCAGTACATTTATCATATATTTTGCATGAACAATGTTGTTGTTATTGTTAAGAATTTGTTTATCTGGCAGTGTGTACATTTAACTTAAACTACATGTATATATTAATGAATATACCTTTCTAACATAACTATTCACTTCAATTCAACATGTACAAAGATAACATATTAATACTAGATATAGGTCTACAACAAAGTCTGGGTTTTTTTTTCCATTTGAAAAACAGATCAAATATCTGCAAAGCTAAGAATATTTTTCAATTTCAAACCTTTTTCTATACAATAAATTAGCATTGGACGTTAAAAAAATACAAGTGAACTCTGATTATTTGTAGAAGCACTATTCTTTTCAAAATTTAAATACTGGTTCACCATGTTCACAATATGCACACACAAAAAAAGGCTTAAAACATTGGTCTGCTTTTAAATTTTTTTTCAATATGTCTGTCCATTCCCACACCAGCAACCTGAACTCTCATAGAAAATGAAAGCAAATGGAATGTTATGAATGATTATTGCATATATCAGTAAAATTAAACATTCTTCACAAATGACAACAACAAAAGACAAGTAAATGATGCTGCACTTTGGTCAAAGAAAAATTTTTTTTTTTGAATTACAGTAAAAACAACACCATTGCTTGACTATAACAAATTAATAACATGCATTTATAATCACAACTTTTTTACTAATGCTCAAGTATACTTTCACTGTATAAACAGGCATACATAAGGCTTGAAATGCGGACAAAAAGCAACAACAAACATCCTAAATACATGTATATACTAAATCAATACTTTCGTTGCGTCAAAAATAGACCCATTCAGTCATGATCAATTTGCGTATTTGTATTAATTAAATATAACATAATGACATGTATAATCTACATGTAAAACATGTATAAAATACAGGTATTCAACACTTTTCTTTATTACTACACATAAAAGTCAACAACCGTATATATATATTATGCTAAAAAAAACAGGACTGAGTATTTAAGGTTAGAAATATAATCTTGCAGTAGTAAAGCCAGTAATCATTCTTAGAATATGGCAAGCTTTGACACAAACAACTAAAGACTATCCATCATTTGCAAGATAACGAGTTAAAACTACATTATGCTCATATTTTCATTGTCAAATTGAGCTCAATTAAAAGATTGACTGTTTTAATGGTGATTGACCAACAAGTGATATTGGGAAATGCTTAGAATAATATATAAATCTGCCTAAATTATAAAGACTGCCTCAGTCTTTTGATAAATTGAATGTTATTGGTAAATTCCGATGGATATTTATAGAAATTTCCTTTATCCAGATGATTTACTTTTCATTCATGCCAGGTGAATTATAAAATTCAAAGAAATTATGGCAAAATGTTAACTTGTTTTGACTTTCACCTGTTCACTCACTATATACCCGTGGATAGGCATAATATCACTTAAAGATACCACCGTAATAACATTGATTCAATGAAAGTTTTTTGTAATAGATTCATATTTTTTCTCTTCTGACTATTCAAGTGGTCAAGCAAAATAGTTAAAAATACCATTTCATGATTTGCTATCTGACTGAGAACATTACCTTTTAACATTAGGTTTTAAGTCAAGCATACATTGGGAAGATTATGCATTGACATTTCAGCTTTACTGGTAAGAAAAACAAAATATGTCCCTCTGTGCATTATTTCGGGCACAAGCCTGAACCTATGTTGAACCATCAATTTTCCATCAACTAGGCTATAAAACTTTGCTGGGGAAAGAGATATACATTGCTCACCTGCCATCAATTACTAGAAAAAGACATAATATATATGTGAGCCTTTTGCACTAAGGTGAGCTAAAAATAAAAAACGAAAATATGCAAAATGATTCTCAATTAACATTTTCATAAAATAAAACCTGTGAATGAATATAACTGGCTTTACCATCAATACAATCAACTTACATCAATTACTAAAACATAGAAAAAACAACTTTACATATATATTTTTCTAAGTAAACACAAACAATTTAAACTAGGACTATTACTGAAGGTGATTAACAGTGTTTTGTTATAGAAAGGGAGATAATCATAGTTTTTATATTTTCTAACACATGCATAAAATTTGGAAGTCAATTTTATTTTGTAGATTTCAAGCTGCCAACCAAATCCATTTCAAAGTTCTCTTAATATGCTTTAAACAAGATTTATTTTCATTATAAAACAATGGAAGATAATTATAAAATGGCACCCAACCGACCATCCCATACATGTGAACTTTTTTCGATGATCAAGCGGGAGAATTTTCTTCAAAAAGAGGGAGATTTTAGAATTTGCAATAAATAAAGAAGGAAGGAAAAGAGGGAGATTTCTTTAATTTGTGAAAATACCTCTTGTTTTAAGAAAAATCTTTGAAAATATAGCTGCAGAAAGTGGGAGTCTCCCGCTAAAAGTGGGAGAGTTCACATGAATGCCATCCAGCCATAGGGTGACTTCTGTATACTCCCCTTTATAAAAACTAAAAAAAGTTTATATAACTTTTATCTCTTGTGTTTTTATGCCCTTCTATCATTAATTTTTAAACAGTATTACACTATTGAATATCTTAGTACTTTATAATATTTTATGGCATAACACTTCTAGCGGCAAGGGTTATGGTAACAACATTGGAATTAAAATATGGAATGTAAAACAAATCTAAGAGATCTTTTTTTATCATAATTTATCATAACCTATATCTAACCTACAAAACTACGCTCCATCCTTCTTCCCAGTTTGATCTTTACCTGCCTGTGCTTGACCTTGAGATTTATCCTGAGATGGTTGACCTTGACCTGGCTGGCCTTGAGCTGCTTGACCTTGTTGACCTTCAGTTCCTGCAGGCTGACCTTGTGCTTCGGCTGCCTTCTTTTTCTCTAAATATTCATTGATCTTTGCACGCACAATATTTAAATGTTTTAAAATGTACTCTTCTTTGGGAGCGAGTTTGTGAACCTCAGCGAGACATTTCTCAGCTTTGTACAGAATGCCTCGCTCAACAAAAACTACACATAAGTTGTGCATGGCCTCTATGTTTGACGGTTCGTGTTCAAGTACTTTTGTGAAACACTGAAACAAAAATCATGTAATATAACTTGAAATCATGTGAATCAGATATCAGTAAGAAAGAATAATATCATTTAGCATGGGAGTAAGATATCAGTAAGAAAATTAGATCATTAACTATTTACAAGAATTGCTTATTACATGCTTTTTCAGTAAATTACTAAAATATCAATGAGAATCTTACAGATACTAAAACAGAGAGATAATGTATGAAAAAGCATCATTTTTAATTTAATAAATAGAAGATAAAAGGGAGATAATTGCTAGACGACTTGTAATCGCAACATTGTGGGTTCGATTCCCTGGATGACCAACTAAAATTACTAATTAGTCTTTTTGATAATACTTTAGATTGAGGTCCTGTGTATGAGTGCTGAAACACTTATCAGGCTAAACAACCAGGAGAAGCTTTTGGAATTGGGGCATCTTTCTGTGGTTACACTATCCTCCAAAATATAAAATGACTAATACTCTTTCTTGAGGACTCGGGCAACTAGTGGCAAATATAAATAAACTCAAATACACACACACGAGTGCCATTGTTAAATATACCATTCGCAATTACTAAGGTTCATGATAGTGCACATTTACACTTTAATCCCTCAAATCTTAATGACTAAATGGTCAATACTCATATATAAAATATGCTTTAATGAAGCAATTATTATTTTTACCTGTTCAGCTTCATCAAGGTTCTTTAAAACATTGACATTTAGCTCTCCTAACAGCATTAAACCCTTCACATGGTCCGGATATAGCTGAAAATATAACGTTTTTATATCTAACATCTATAAAAACTTTTTGGGCCTACATAAGTATGTGTGACACAATATAAACATACCATGAATAAAACTAATTTTTAAGTCTGATTAATGATCTAATAAATTAACATTTTTTTATGACCCATTACAAGTTACTGTATAAATGGATATTTCCGCAAGTCGAAAATTTAGGGAATTTAAAATTCCAGACACTTCATGTGAGGAAATATTATGGTAGAATTTAATGACAGGTTGGTTGATATTTACGCCTCAAAAATTTTTGGCGATTTTCGTCAATTCGCGAAATTCGCCGATAATTCTGCGTTGCTAACTTTAACCACTTTTACAGTAATCTAAATAAGCCCATTACGATAATGACTTAATCTCTATACTCACCTCAAGGAGTTTTCTAACATATGGCACAGCTTCCTTTGGTTTTCCCATATTGTTGGTCATCATCAACGCCATATTGAATATAGCACTCTTAAAGGTTGGCTCCCTCTGTACAAAATAATAACATAGACTTGTTCTATAGTTTTAGTAATTGTCTGCTGTATAGGGTTTAAACTTAAAATTGTGTTGACCATATTTAAAGGGGCTCGACTAAGGTTTTTTTGACATGAGAGGACTTAAAATAAATTTTGGAGTGTAATGTCGAGATTACTGTTTCATTTGATGTAAGTCTAGACAAATAACTTGAGTGGAAAATTTCAGATCATTTGCATAATCTGTTTTAGAGTTTCACAATAAGTATACCAATTGTATAAAAATAGTTAAAATACCCAATAGCGCCAAAATCGGGCTACGAATAGTACAACAGTGCAATTTGCAATTTATTTCTCAGTATATTTCTTAATTATCTTTTGTATATCGTTCTGTTTAAGTGCCGTAGGTGATCTATGTAAGAAATTGAAATTTTATGTTTTAGGCTTTTGGACCTCCTTTAATATTTCAGTCATATATACATGGCTAGTTAGCTTAAACCTGATTTCCTGAAAGTAATTTCTGTTTTCTCTACATGATTCATTTGAATCTGTATTAGAATGTGGTATTTTATGCCAGAGATCCTAATAAAATATACATGCAGAACTTAAATTCTAAAATCCATAGACTAAATACACTCAATAGTTAGATCACATGAAATCCATTCTATAGTAAAATAGCTTCTTTTAATCTTTATCCTAAAATCTTGAACTTTGACATAGATGATTTTTTGTAAAGATCTGTCAGTGCAGTGTGTTTAGTTATTCTCAGTGCCTAATTATAATAGCAAAACAAGAGCCATTCATGATTTTTTTTTTAAGTCTGTACAGTGAAATAATGTAAGAAAAAAAAATCGTAAACTAGATATATGGGGCTAAGTGTCTGTGACCAACAACTTTTTACAATTATGACCCTAAAGTCTTTTAAAAAGTTTTTAGCACATAATTTTAAAGGTTCTGGAGAAAAAAAATTGTACATAAACCAGAAATTTTCCAAATGCACAATATGCTCTGTTAAGCTTAAAAATAACTAACCTCGAGGGACATTTTGAAATATTTTTCAGCTGCAATAAAGTCCTGCATGTCCATGGCTAACATAGCGAGGGAAAATGGCGCCCGGGAGTCGTTCTTTCGTGTCTTGATCAACTGCTGGAATCTGAAAAATAATGTCATCCATATAGTTTCTTGCATTTAAGATTGGATTTTCCATGCCATCTTAAACCCTTCAAGTACCACATCAGAGACATGCTTCCCACCATAATATAATTATGAGTTTTGTGCTTAAAATGATGTCATTCAACTGTTTTAAATGAAGTTGAAAATCCATGTGCCACTATAAAGAATAGAGCTAATATAAAAATATTTTTTTCTTGTTGAACTATAATTAATATGTGTAAAAAATAAAAAAAAATGGCTGCATTTATTAACTGGACTATCTGGCTGACAGATTAATGTTTACCGGGAACACTGCGAAGCCTTGTTTTACACATTTACGGGCAACACCAATGATAAGGTCAATATTCCTATATTTTTATTTACTTACAAATATTCTCACAAAAGTCACAAAAGTGTGTTAAAACAAGGGAAGTCAAACTGTATTTTGTGAAAAATTTTATGATACAGAATTTTTTTTTGCAACCCCCCCCCCCCAAAATGATCAAACATCTCTGACAATTTAGTACAGAGACTAGAACAAGCTAAATTGTAGATACAGTCAAACGTGTATTAAGCGACCGGGCAAGGGAAACACCAAAAACGGTCGCTTAATGAAACGGTCTCTTAAGACAGTCAGCATGATATAAAAGTCAAAATTTATAAATGACATCTTTCTTATGAAGTGGTAATGTTTTTCAACTTCATTTTTATATAAATGTTAAATAATTAGTACGCTACGATAATCTAAATGGATGCAAACATAAACAAGAACTGTCGGAGGACAGTAACGCTCGACTATTCGAAAATTTGTCACAAGGGTGTTTCATTGAGTATAATAATGCTTACCTATATGAATACATAAAATTGTCCGAAAAGGTACAAACTCTTCAAGTTTCAATACATTCCCTTCAGTAGTTATGGAGAGACAAGCTTACATGCAAAAACTTTACCAAGAATTCATGAGTCGAAAAAGGGGCATAATTATGCAAAAAAAGCAAATCAGAGTTATGGGACTTGTACCAATCATCTTAGATAATCATAGAGACCAAGTGTGTGAAGTTTCAATCCATTCCCTTCAGTAGTTATGGAGATACCAGCTTACATGCAAAAACTTAACCAAGAATTTCTAAGTCGAAAAAGGGGCATAATTATTATGTAAAAAAGCAAATCAGAGTTATGGGACTTGTGGCAATTATCTTAGATAATCACAGAGAACAAGTGTGTGAAGTTTCAATCCATTCCCTTCAGTAGTTATGGAGATACCAGCTTACACGCAAAAACTTAACCAAGAATTTCTAAGTCGAAAAAGGGGCATAATTATGTAAAAAAGCAAATCAGAGTTATGGGACTTGTGCCAATCATCTTAGATAATCACAGAGAACAAGTGTGTGAAGTTTCAATCAATTCCCTTCAGTAGTTATGGAGATAACAGCTTACATACAAAAACTTAACCAAGAATTTCTAAGTCGAAAAAGGGGCATAATTATGAAAAAAAGCAAATCAGAGTTATGGGACTTGTGGCAATCATCTTAGATAATCACAGAGAACAAGTGTGTGAAGTTTCAATCAATTCCCTTCAGTAGTTATGGAGATAACAGCTTACATACAAAAACTTAACCAAGAATTTCTAAGTCGAAAAAGGGCATAATTATGAAAAAAAGCAAATCAGAGTTATGGGACTTGTGCCAATCATCTTAGATAATCACAGAGAACAAGTGTGTGAAGTTTCAATCCATTCCCTTCAGTAGTTATGGAGATACCAGCTTACATACAAAAACTTAACCAAGAATTTCTAAGTCGAAAAAGGGGCATAATTATAAAAAAAAAGCAAATCAGAGTTATGGGACTTGTGCCAATCATCTTAGATAATCACAGAGAACAAGTGTGTGAAGTTTCAATCCATTCCCTTCAGTAGTTATGGAGATACCAGCTTACATACAAAAACTTAACCAAGAATTTCTAAGTCGAAAAAGGGGCATAATTATGAAAAAAAGCAAATCAGAGTTATGGGACTTGTGCCAATCATCTTAGATAATCACAGAGAACAAGTGTGTGAAGTTTCAATCCATTCCCTTCAGTAGTTATGGAGATACCAGCTTACATACAAAAACTTAACCACAGGGACGCCGACAAATGGGTGACTGCATTAGCTCGATTATTCTGCGAATAGTCGAGCTAAAAATAACTTTCTGATATTTATTGACAAATTACGTACATATTTGACATTTTTTCCAGAGTTTTTTAACTTCTCCGTTGTTTTTCCTTGTCTGCAACACGAAAACCCTATTAGTGAAGATGTTTTCTGTTGTGCATTTTTTCATTTGAAATAAACAAACTACATCTAATTGTTACGATTAATTTAATTGCTGATCAAGTTCAAGGTCAATTCAATGCAGTCTAAATGTCAACAAGCGAAGCGTATACACCATCTCAGTAGGGGCGGAGCGTTGCATTGTTTATCCGATATTATTGGATAATACACGTCACGGGTATACTTAACTTCATTTGCATACGCTAAAACGGTTTGGGAAATAGAGTTTTTCACACGTTTATTTGTTGTGTTTTGATTGTTGACACTTGTGACATTACGAGGTGGCGTTCTCTAAAAACACAATTACTTGACAGGTAAAAGTGGTCGTTTAATGAAAAGATTGATCTCAATTAGGTGACTAATTAGCGGTCGCTGGTCGCGTTGAGCAAAAGTCGCTTTATACATTAAGGATATAGAGAAAAAATGATCGGGGGGAATTTAAAGTGGTCGTTTAAGACAAAAGTCGCTTAATACACGTGGTCGCATGGGCAAGTTAGACTGTACTTGATGGAAGGGAGACAACTCAGAAAACAACAACAGTACCTGTCAACAGCGACCTGCCATTTATCTGTCATCTTCTCTTCTTGGATCATAACAGCTGAGTTATATAAGGATTGCTGTGAACAAAACATACATTTTAATATGATAACATTATTTACTGTAAAATAAGTTCTTACAATCTTCAAATAAATTTGGCTTACAATCAGTTATCAAAGCACCTATCATGAAACTAGCAAATTAATTTTGAAGAAGATTCAACCATGTTTTCAATATAAAAGTTTATATAAAATATGTGAAAGGCAAATTTTGACTTTCCAAAGGCATAAAAATCTTTTGTTAAGGACAGCAAAGTGTTATCAGATACTTGGGCATCATACAAGTATCACTTACAACAGTTTTTAATGAGGGCTATCTAATACTGATTCCAGTGAAAGTTTGAGAGGTCCTGAAAGAGATGTTGTTTAAAATAATGCTGGAAAACGATGTATATTCTGATAGACCAGACATCAGGCAAAAGGGGGATAATTCTTGAAAATTTAAAGTAACTATTAACAACAATTTTTACAAAAGTAAGTAGGACATAAAGACAGACTGAAATAATCATAAAATGGTGAGTATAATCTACAAAAGAATTTTCATTTCAGGGTGCATGTAAATATAGCTCTGAACAAAAACATAATTTTATAATCATGTATTTCTTTCAGTCAACTAAAAACTATTTTGACAATATTTGAAATTATAGTCTTTGGATGACATGAAGCTAGGAATAATCATAGACTTAGAGATAAAAACAAAGAAATACAAAGGTATTACCCAGTGGTCAGGATCATGCAGCAGAGCTTTCTCAAAACATTTAAAAGCCTCTGGTCTTTGTCCCAGTTCCATATATACTACACCCATCTGAAACACAAAATAAACATCTGTTTCATCATATATATTCCTATAAATATATTTTATTTCAGGCACAAAGGAGCACCTTAGTATAACCACCGACATTCTGTAGGCTAGCTGGATAGCTTTCTCACATGCAAGAATCTAAAGACACATGGGCGGCTCAAACCTACAGCAGTGAGACAAGTGGTTTGAAACCAACGACCTTAACCACTCAGCCACAGATGCCCCACATGAAGAGCTAATTTAACAGTATTATATCAGTAAAAATATTGTATTTCAGGAAAATACTGGTGAAACTTTAAATAACATGTGTTCTTAGATTAAATACCATTACATTTTTATAATAATCTGAGTTTCCACAAGTAAAATCCAACTTCTCCACATGAATCATGGTGGAGGATGATTAGCATAGCATTATTGTTATCAACAAAGTTATCACTGGAAATTGTAAAACCTGATGGGTAGATAACTATGAACCAGACAATGGGATCTGGCCACTTCAAGTAAGGAATTGAGATCTAATGGCTTAATTCAAATCAAATAAAACAATGGAACTGCTATTATTAAGAAACTACATAGATGGATAATGAACAAGAGGTTAAAAAACCTAATAATGATAAAAAGTGTCAGATTTTAAACATAAACATTTAGAATTATTGACTATTCCTCTTTTTTCAATAGTCATTTTTTCCTTATTTACCATATAGATAAGTTAACTTCATTTACATAAGGAAAAACACATTCATGTTTTATAACATTATAAAAATGGAATCTACTTACATTATAATGAGCATCAGAGTTAAGAGGTTCATACTTCAGTGCCATTTCATACATCAATAATGCATCATTTCGTCTGCAAAAACAAAATACATGTGTACTTAACCATTTGAGTTCTTTGGGCAATTATAACATAAATTCTCCGCCAATAAAGAGCCAGACCAGTATGTATATCTGTGCAGTCTAACCAGTTGATTTATCAGTTTTTGTATATTGATACAGACCATCCTTAAACTAAATATGAAATGTTCCAAAAACAAAGGACAGGTCCATTATTCAAATACAGCCTCATAATCAGAATTGATTGCTAAGCAGAATCATGTAGATGTAGAGGATGAACTCAGTTGCCCTTTTTGTTCATTATTTCAGGCATGAATGGACACCTAAGTAGAACAACAGACGTTCCGTAAGCTAGCTGTATAGCTTTCCCATATGTAGAATCCGACGATGCTTGCGTGACTTGAACCTTCAGCGGTGAGAAGCAAGTGGTTTCACATCAACTATCTTAACCACCCGGCCACAAACTCATGTTTGATGTAGCACATGCAAGGCAGACTGAAATACTAATAACTCATGCTTGCACTATGTTTCATGTAAACTAAAAGGGAAATGTTAAAATTGTGCAATAAAAGAAGACATACTTTCCCATCTTCATATAAATATCTCCTCTATTTATATAACCTTGTATATAATCTGGTCTCATATCTGTAGCTGTCTTTAACAACTGAAATAATATTTCAACATACATGTCAACATTTCTCATACATGACCGTGTGCCACTCTTATATATAATTATACATGTATTTAATTACTCTACTGATCAAGAGCACTGCATGCAGAATTAACGCCTGTGTGTTAAAAATTCTAAGCTTAAAAGAGACTATCTCAAAAATATTTCTTTCAGAATTATGCCCTTTGTCTAACAACTGCACCTTGCAATGATAAGCAAGTATTCCAAGTTTCATGTTAATTACTTTTATGGGCTACATTTACGTTTTACACGTAGATGACAACAACGAGGCTGCAGTGCTCAAAATTGCTCAAGTTTTTCTTTGAAACAGATGAGCTATGAATGATTAATACACAAAAAGCTTTAGAATGCTGATAATATGACATCATAATTATGTTATATATGAGTAATATTAAAGGATATATAAAGCTATATCTAACAAAATGTCTCTATTATTTAACATATTATACATTAATATTAAACATAAACATAACAAGAGTTGTCAGCAGGATGGTAGGCTTGACTATTCTCAGTGCTTGATAGTATAACTAGAGCCTGGACAATGTAGAATTTAAAAAGAAGTTCAAAAAGGGCCATAATTCTGTACAAATCCATGTTAGAGCTCTGGGCCTTGGCAAGTGACCCCCTATTTTGCTCTCAAATGAGTGTATAAAGTTTCAACCCATTCCTTTCAGTTGTTTTGGAGATACCAATTTGCATGAAAAAACTAAACCACGGTGTGATGCCAACGCCTTGGTGAGTACAACAGCTCTCCCTATTCTTCTAATTTTACGGACTGTCAACGAAATAGGCAATCACTAATGCTTATGTATTGTTTAATATCAACAAATGAATATGATACAAAAGATAACTTTTATTCTGAACTTACGGAAGCCGCCTCCTCCAGCCTGCTAGAATCTCGTGAATATAGGGAGGCAAGATTTAAGAACACATTCAGGTGACTAGGTGCAACACGAGCTGTGTAACTTTTACCTTAAAAAAATCATGTGATCACATAGCTGTTATGTATTTAATATGCCATTTATTTGTACGTCAGATCTTGTTGTCATCACTTTTTTATTGGTTTTAACACTGTAAAGATCATGTTGCCACTTTCCATCTTTACTGGGAGGAACACTTAAGGTATCCTTTTGTGAAAAGGTTTCAGGCACAAAAAAGGACTTTATCACACGAAAGAAGTCTCCGTAACGTTGGGCTTTAGTCACCTTATCCATTCCTTTGTCTAAGATTTAGGGACTTATCAGTGCTGAAAGTCCGTTCATAGATTTCAACACAATTATAACTGAAATTGAATTTTATTTAGGACTTGGGTCCTAAAAATAGGTTGCATAAAACAGATATAGTCAGTAGTCACAATTAATTTCATCAATAAATGAGTAGAAAAATTTGACAACAATTTTTGTTTAAGTATGAAGCATAGCAATAATTTATGCTCTAGTGACAATTCTAGGAATTATTTATGTCAATATCACCATGGTAACCTACCTTGTATTATAGGTGGGAAGAGATTCTTAGCATTCAGGAAAGCCTCTTCAGCTTCATCAAACATTTCTAATCTCTTGTATGTACGTCCTACATTCATGTGGGCACCTATATCATCCTGTTGTACACTGAAATATAAATTACAAATACATGGTTTTTTGCCAACTTATGTTTCGTTTAATCCATTAATTTCTTTTTGCAGGGCTTTAAGTCAAACTGTCACAGAAGGAAGACCCTGATGTTCCTCTTTCAATTACTTATGGCATGACCAGTTTGTCTGTTATTTTCTTTAGGTTATATCTGGTGGTCAGTCCACCTAACCGATTCTCTCTTTACTGAGCTAAGCTACTGGATAGCTTCAACAAATGAAAGAATCCATAGTCACTGTCAAAAAGGAATAAAAACAAACATTGGTAAGTGGCAAATGATTTCAAGCCAGCAATGTTGACCACTCAGCCATGCAAGAATCTTATTCATTTTTTTACAAAATAAATATAAAATTAATAGTAACTTTGGTACACTTGATTTTGAAAGGTGATAGTCCTCCTGCAAGTGTGATTAAATTGCAATTTAAAGTTAAGACCGTATGAAAGTTATAAAGTTACAAATTATAAGTTTATACACTACTTGTTTTAGTTTCGATTGTATAGGAAGCTGTAACCTTATAGACGAAAACACTCTCAAATCTGTCCCTTGAACTAACCAGTACTATGTAATGAGTGTTAAAGTTTCTTGCTCAAGTAATCAACAGCTAACCACTGACAGGGTTTAACGGTGTATTGGCAGCAATCCTTAATTTACTAGTCTTGACGCATTTTTATCAGTTTTATCAAGTTTGAATAATCAATATTTTCTTTCTTTTTGAGAAAATTTATCACAATATATACCATATCCTAAGGTGAGGGTATTGTTACAGACTTACCTAACAGCTTTCTTGAAGTATTCTAGAGCTTCCTCATATCTATCTAAATTTTCCAAGGCATGTCCAACATTATTCCACAATTTGGCATTTTTCTGGTTCACTTTTAAGGCTGCTCGGAATACAGAATACTCTGATGTCCTGTAAACAAATAGAACTAAATTATTTATTACATAACATAAATATATATGCTCTGATGAGATAGTAATTTTATAGTAATTTCGTGAAATGTTGACACATGGTGACAATTTCTAAGCATTAAATATTGATTTTTATGTGCATGCATCATATTTTTGGATTTTAAAACAAATTGGTTCCAATACACTCAGAGCGCCTGGGGAAATCCTTAAAGAAATAAGTAATCTGGCAGCAAGGGACGTAACTGAACTTACCAATCTATATTTCTCATGTAACATTTTCCAGCATGGAACAATACTAGACATCCCATCAAAAACCACAGTATTGGCTTTACGGCCCTGAAATCATATGTTATAAACTATGTAATGGTCTTCATAAATGTTTAATTTCTCTAATCTGTCTACTGCTTTCAATATTGAAAGAATAATACATATTTTCTTTTTTTTTTATATTTTTTTTTAATCTAGAATAATAATCACACACCTTTTAATATTATATGGATAAAAACCATTTTGCAGACATGAAAATGTATCTTTTTATTATTTGAATACAAAAGTCACACATTGTTAAACATATTGCTGCTTGGCAATAACTTTCTGTTATAGAATGGAAACAGTTTAAAATCTTTGGGCATTTTTATCTTGACATTTTTACTCTTACATTTTAAATAACAATAATAATAACAAGCATTTGATAGTATTGCGGGCAATACAGTAGTCCCCTACCGGTCCCTCAAAAAGTTCTTTAATTGTCATACACTCCTGTGTATTGCCATTTATAATGAATTTGAGGATGAAGTCTGTATTTGAAAATATCAACCACAAAACATAATAAAATAAGTTTGTCTATATCACAGTAATGTGTTAAGTTTCCATGCTTAGTAAGGAAATTATGTTTATACAACCTTGTCATATTATTACGATGTGGGATTTTAAAGTAAATCCTATAAGGAATGAAGAAGTTGGAGTGAAAATACCAATTTCTCGAAAAAAATCTAAGTTCAAAGGGGACATAATTCTGGAAATAGTCTTGCTAGAGTATTTAACCTTCTCAAAAATGTCGAGTGATAATAAGAAACATACATATGAAGTTTGAAGTAGATACATTAGGAAATAAAGAAGTTATTTAAAAAAGACAACATTTTTTCCCCTAAAAAATCTAAGTTCAAGGGAGGTAATACTGATATTTTTTGTGCTAGAGTTATAAACCTTGTCACATATGATGTGGTTGATGACCAGAAACTTATATTTAAAGTTTGAAGTAAACACCTTAAGAAATAAAGAACATACAGTGAAAAAGCTGAAAAATTTAAATCAGAAATCTTGAAATTCAGGCTATTTGTTGCCATAGCAACCAGAATTTTCAACATAGGAAGAAAAGAAAAAGATGTGCATAATCTCCAGACTGCCATCTACCCATATTTCAAGTTTCATAAAAATATTTTCAGTACTTTTTGAGTTATCACTGGATCCAGTTTATGTGTTAAATTTGCCATATTTTCAGACTATTTGTTGCCATAGCAACCAGAATTTTCAACATAGGAAGAAAAAAAAAAGACGTGCATAATCTCCATACTGCCATCTATCCATATATCAAGTTTCATAAAAATATTTTCAGTACTTTTTGCGTTATCGCGGGATCCAGTTTTGTGGACGGACGGACTGACGGACTGACAGACAGACGGACAGACAGACGGACAGACAGACAGACGGAGAGACGGACGGAGGGTAAACCTAAAGTCCCCTCCGGTTAAACCGGTAGGGGACTAATAAAAATAGGCATTTTTATCTTGACATTTTTACTCTTACATTTTAAATAATAATAATAATGATGATGATGATGTTGTTGTTGTTGTTTATAATAATAATAATAATAATAATAATAATAATAATAATAATAATAATAATGATGATGATGATGTTGTTGTTGTTGTTTATAATAATAATAATAATAATAATAATAATAATAATAATAATAATAATGATGATGATGATGATGATGATGTTGTTGTTGTTGTTTATAATAATAATAATAATGATAATGATGATGATGTTGTTGTTGTTTATAATAATAATAATAATAATAATAATAATAATAATAATAATGATGATGATGATGATGATGATGTTGTTGTTGTTGTTTATAATAATAATAATAATAATAATAATAATAATAATAATAATAATAATAATAATGATGATGATGTTGTTGTTGTTTATAATGATAATAATAATAATAATAATGATGATGATGATGATGATAATAATAGTCCTCTGACCCTTAGTAGTCCACCTGTTAATGTTATTAAAGTCTGGATACTAAGATAGCACTTACAAGTCAATAAGCAACAATCATTCCAAACATCATACATATTTGCTTAATGCAAACAATCATATTATGACATTAATTACAATCTCTTTAAAAGTACCATGGAGCAGGTAAAGTAATACTATGGTTACCACCTATCGCCACCAAACAATCAGATCATTAACTCTACCACAGCAAACAAAACCTTCCCTCAAACATTAAACTATTGTAGAATTATTAAGTTTTTTACATATTTCAAGACTAACCCAGTCAGACTGCAGAGATGTGCAGACAAGCTTGGCACTATACTGGTGGCGAAGACTAATCACGTTTAGTTCCAACAGGTTAAGTCAGACAGACATAAATTATACTTACTTTTTATTCTGCATGATATGGTTAAATCCTACAGCAATCAGCATACAAAAGCCCATACTAGGTGTGTATAATATACGTTCTGCTACGACAAATCCCACTGGGAAAAACAGGTTAGATGCTGGTATAAATGGCATCACCATCAATGCAAGGCACTGCAAACAGAATGAAAGTATAAGATGAGTAAAAAGAAGTGTTTTTTGAAAATCAAACAAGATGGCACTGTGTTTATAAGTCACAAATGTACCCATCCAAAATATGTCAAGAGTTACCACATATCTTATAAATAGTTAATAAAGAGTTATCATGAGGATTCTATGTTCTTTTCATGAATTCAGAGATGATATATAGCCACAACAACAAACAAGAAACATGGCAATGCCATGAAACCAGGTTTTCAATTATCACCATTGTAGATAAATATGTTGTATTTGAAATACAAATACAAGCAACAAACAATGTAACTATGTGCAATGTAAAACATGAATAATGTAGGAGGAATTGCCACAGAGGAAGTGTTCACTATAATTATATTCTGTATAAGGAAAAAAAAACAAAGGGCCATAATTAAATAAAAAATTATTCAATCACAAAACCCCGACAATATGCGCCAGGGCACTGGATGACAAAGCTACTGTGAAAGTTTGAACAAAATCCGTTGAGAAATGTAGGAGTTCAGCAAAGAAGAATTTTTTCACTATATATTCTGTATAAGGAAAAATAACAAAGGGCCATAATTAGGTCAAATATTATCCAATCACAAAACCCCGAAAATGTACACCAGGGCACTTGATAACAAAGCTTCTGTGAAAGTTTGGTCAAAATCTGTTGAGAAATGTAGGAGAAGTTGCGCATGGTAAAAAATTGTTCACTATATAATCTGTATAAGGAAAAAAAATAAAAGGGTCATAATTAGGACAAATATTATACAATCAAAAAACCCTGACAATATGCCCTAAGGCACTTGATGACAAAGCCTCTGTGAGAGTTTGGTCAAATTCCGTTGAGAAATGTAGGAGGAGCTGCGCACAGAAAATTGTTCACTATATATCCTATATTGGGAAAAAAAACAAAGGGCCATAATTAGGTCAAATATTATCCAATCACAAAACCCCGACAATATGCGCCAGGCCACTTGATGACAAAGCCTCTGTGAAAGTTTGGTCAAAATCCATTGAGAAATGTAGGAATAGTTGGGCACAGAAGAAATTATTCACTATATATTCTATATAAGGAAAAATAACAAAGGGCCATAATTAGGTCAAATATTATCCAATCACAAAACCCCGACAATATGCGCCAGGTCACTTGATGACAAAGCTTCTGTGAAAGTTTGGTCAAAATCCGTTGAAAAATGTAGGAGGAGTTGCGCACAGAAGAAATTGTTTACGCCCGCCTGCCCGCCCGCCCGCCGATGTACCTCAATCTAATAACCAGTTTTTTCCTTTGGAAAACCTGGTTAAAAACAAAAAAATAACAACAGTGATTAGCTGCTGGAACTGAACAAGACCTTTATTTCATGATGTTACATTTGTGTACAAAATGAAAATACAAATAAGCTACTTATTAGCAAAAACAGAATTTTCCCCAATACAAAACAAGAGGGCCATGATGGCCCTGAGGTCGCTCACCTGTATATAGGCCCCCGGAGCGAGGCAAGTTTAAACCCAAGGGCCCCCGGCAGGGCTAATTTTAATCCAAGGGCTTTTATTTGAACAAACTTGGTAGACACCTATAAGAAGATGTTTCATGCTTAACATCTAAGCTCTAACTCATTGGGTTTTTTAAAAGAAGATTTTTTAAGTTTTTACTTTACACATATAGTTAAAAACAATGACACCCCTTGGGCGGGGCCAGTTTTGACCCCAGGGCTTTTATTTGAACAAACTTGGTAGACACCTATAAGAAGATGTTTCATGCTTAATATCTAAACAGTAGCTATTTGGGTTTTTTCAAAGAAGATTTTTAAGTTTTTGCTATACACATATAAGGAAAATCAATGACCCCTGGGGCGGGGCCAATTTTGACCCTAGGGCTTTTATTTGAACAAACTTTGTAGACACTCACTAGAAGATGTTTCATGCTTAATATCTAAACTCTAGCTATTTTGGTTTTTTCAAAGAAGATTTTTTAAGTTTTTGCTATACACAAATAAGGAAATCAATGACCCCCGGGGCGGGGCCAATATTGACCCCAGGGCTTTTATTTGAACAAACTTGGTAGACACCCATTAGAACATGTTTCATGCTAAATATCTTAGCTCTAGCTCTTTGAGTTCTTTAAAAGAAGATTTTTTTAAGTTTTTACTATATGCATATATGCATATAGGGAAAATCAATGACCCCCTGGGGCGGGGCCAATTTTGACCCCAGGGCTTTTATTTGAACAAACTTGGTAGACACTCATGAGAAGATGTTTCATGCTAAATATCTTAGCTCTAGCTTTTTCGGTTCTTTAAAAGACGATTTTTTAAGTTTTTACTATATGCATATAGGGAAAATCAATGACCCCCTGGGTCGGGGCCAATTTTGACCCCAGGGCTTTTATTTGAACAAACTTGGTAGACAGTCATGAGAAGATGTTTCATGCTAAATATCTTAGCTCTAGCTCTTTGGGTTCTTTAAAAGAAGATTTTTTAAGTTTTTACTATATGCATATAGGGAAAATCAATGACCCCCTGGGGCGGGGCCAATTTTGACCCCAGGGCATTTATTTGAACAAACTTGGTAGACATGCACTAGAAGATGTTATATGCCAAATATCTAAGCTCTAGCTCTTTGGGTTTGTTAAAAGAAGACATTTAAAGTTTTTTCTTTCGGTTGCCATGGCAACCAGAGTTCTGCATGGAATTAAATTCTTTGAACAATTTTTAAAGGTGACCACCAAAGGAACATTCCTGTGAAGTTTGGATGAAATTGGCTTGGTGGTTTATGAGGAGATGTCATTTAAAGTAAAAGTTTACGGACGGCCGGACGCCGGACGAAAAGCGATCACAAAAGCTCACCCTGTCACTTTGTGACAGGTGAGCTAAAAAAGAGAACTAATATTAAACTATTTACCATGATTATTGCTCGGTTTAACTTCCCTTGTTTCATCAGTGAAAAATGAACAATTTTTCCAAAACATGCATAGAAAGCCACTGTGATAAGATTTCTTGGATCTACAATTGAGCTGATAACTGGAATGGTTCCCATCGTCCAATCACAGCATAGATCAGCCGGAAAGAGGAGGAGCCAAAAATTTATGGGCAGCAGGTAGTTGTAGGTTAACTGTCGGGATGGAGTGTTTGAAACAGATGCTGGATTATCAAACCTGAATAAAATAAACAAAACAGAATATATAAAGGATCTTAACTGTTGCCCTTTCATATATGGACTTATATTATACAAGCCTAAGAAAGAATTACAAAGCAAGTCTGAGGCAAGCTTTATAAATATCTGAGGCAAATTCTAAACAAGATTGCATTTGAGAAAAATGCTATGCCACCGCATGGTCAAAATGTCATTGCTGTACATCAAAGGACAAGAATGTAGGTCACTGTCCCCTTGGGCAAGGCATAATTTTGACCAAAGGGTTTAAAAACAATCTTGATACACTGGTCCACCAAACAACATTTCAAGTCAAATATCTAACCTAAAGCTTTCTCCCATTCAGAAAACATTTGTTTTATTTTCTGTTTTTACTATGTGTACATAATGAAAATCACTGCCCCCGGGCAGGGCCAATTTTGACATTTGAAAAACTTTGGTAGAGGACCTATAGATGATATTATATATCAAACATCAAAGTTCTATGCCTTGAACCTTCAGACAAATTTTTTTTTTTTCACTATATGTACAAAATGAAAATCAATGTCCCCCGGGGCCAAACCAATTTTGACCCCAGGGCTAAATTTGAACAATCTTGCTAGAGGTTCACTACACAATGTTTCATGCAAAATATCTTAACTCTAGCCTTTGTAAATTTAGAGAAGATGATTTTTTAAGTTTTTACTATATACATATAAGATAAACCTATTGCCCCCAGGGGCGGGGCTAATTTTGACACAAGAGGCAAAATTTGAACAAGTTTGGAAGAGTACCTTTAAATGATGTTATTTAACAAATATTAAAGCTCTAAGCCTTGTACCTTCAGACAATTAGATTTTTTTATTTTTTGACTATATGTATATTTTGAAATCAATGACCCCCAGGGCGAGAGCAATTTTGACCCCAGGGCTATAATTTGAACAATATTGCTAGAGGTTTACAACACAATGTTTCATGCAAAATATCTAACCTCTAGCATTTGTCAATTGCTAGAAGAATTTTTTTACTATTTATTATTATAAGTTTTTACTATACACATATAAGGAAAACCAATGACCCCCGGGGCGGGGCCGATTTTGACCCAAGGGCTATAATTTGAACAATCTGGGTAGAGGTCTACCAGACAATGCCTTGAGCAAAATATCTAAGCTCTAGGCCTTTTGGGTCTTTACAAAAAGGTGTTTTAAGTTTTTACTTTATGTACATATAGCGAAAATCAATGACCCCGGGGCGGGGCCGATTTTGACCCAATGGCTATAATTTGAACAATCTTCATAAGGGTCTACCAGATGATGCCTTATGCAAAATATCTAAGCTCCAGGCCTCTTGGGTTTTTACAAGAACGTATTTTAAGTTTTTACCATATGTACATAGTGAAAATCAATGACCCCCCGGGCGGGGCCAATTTTGACCCCAGGGCTATAATTTGAACAATCTTGTTAGAGGTCTACCAGACAATGCCTTATGCAAAATATCTAAGCTCTAGGCCTTTTGGGTCTTTACAAGAAGATTTTTTTAATTTATTCTTATAATTCCTTTTGGTTGCCATGGCAACCAGATTTCTGCATGGAATGAAATTCTTTGAACAACTTTGGAAGCCCTTCACCCAAGGAACATTCCTGCCAAGTTTGGTTGAAATTGGACTAGTGGTTTTTCACAAGAAGATTTTTTAAGTTCACTATATAATCTATATAACACACACACACACACACAAACACACACACAGGTGAATCGCTATATGCCACCGCATCGTAGATGCTGCGGTGGCATAATAAAATAACCATACATATAAGATTGTTTTTTTAACATAATGAGAGTAGAAATTTTGTAAATTTCATACACGTTAGATCTATGATAAAAAGGGAACAAATTTGCAAGAAGATTTTGAATACATTAGTTTTATCCTAACAAACAAGTGGTAAATTCTAATGGACTCCATGCTTATTTACCTCATTATTTTGTTTATGAAACAAAAACATGGACATTCTAAAACTTTACAGGTTCGGTGAAATCAATGATAAAGTTATGTGTCTTGAAGGACAAATTTTATTTTATACATGTCAGCACGCCCACTGACTACAAAAGTAAGGGAACATGTACCTTCTGTTGAATATGGGGGGGGGGGGGTTATTTCAAAAGTTGGGAGTATACAGAAGTTCAAACGTGTTTTTCTTCATAAACTAATTTATGTTGGTAAAAAAACTTGTTGCAAAGATAAAAACAAATCCTTGTATTTCAAAGTCTGTGACATAATGTGCAATGTCCAAATTTATAGTTTTTATCTTGCACTGGATTATTGATTTTATTACTCCCAAGTGGCATTTGCATTGACAACATAACATCAAAGGCACTCACTGAATGTAGAGGTCATGCATTTCAGATATCTGAAAGTTTAATCATACTGGCCTAGATTCACAGAACACATTTTTTTCAATGGTAATTTTCAGAACAAGGTATGAAGTTCTAAATAAAATGTACGCATTATTTTTGTTGGCTTACTAGACCAGACTTTTTAAGGTCTGGAAGAATAAAAAGAATCAAATGAAATTATTTTTTATTGTATGCGCATACATGTACCCCTTGCCCAGAGTTTTTCTGCATCCATGTAGACTTTTATGCATGAATCAAGCACTGCGTGAATGGCATGCTGCAAGTACTCTAACTTATGAAACAGTTTCACTTACTTAGTGAATACAGGTAGTTGAGCTCCCATCACTTTTATTCTAGCTATCAACAGAAATAGAGTAGAACCTACAAGAACTACTGATCTAATTATAGACCCTTGTAACCACTTGGGTATGTTTGTGTCACCTTGTAAAATACGCATCAAAATTGCCCACAAGTCTTTAAATAATGCCTGCAATGTAAAATAACCGATAAACAAAGTACACCGATATTTTAATAACTTGTCAGCAAATCAGATTTTTAAAAGAAAAGAAACAAAAACAAAAGAAATAAAAACAAAGACACTATAATGCTGAACAAATAATTTGTACATCATACAGTTTTAAATTGTATTTTGATAAAAACATAATCAAAGTACTTGAAGTATAAAACAACAATGTTTATCAAAGTACTTGAAGTATAAAACAACAATGTTTATAAATTTTCAGCACTCCCTCACCATTTTTCTTTTTTAAACATCGGGTTATGCATGCATGAAATTATTGCTAAATCTACAAAATATTGCAACTGATTATTTTGTAAGAACATTTTATTAACAGCTGTTTTCATGTAAAAATCACATGAATTATGTAAAAATCACATACATTAAATGACCAAGAGAATATTAATGCTTTTTTTAATTTAAAGTGTATATTACCTGTCATACATGTACTCTTACACCCATTAACCCCTAAACTGCTGGAACTGGAAGTAATAAACCTTGGCCACCAGTGTAGAGCCAGGCCAGCCTAAACTTCCATGCAGTCTGACCAGGCACTATACTTCATGGTTACAAACTGATATCCCTAAAGTTGATAATGGACAGCTCCTCTTATGGTACCTGGACAAGTCCATTTTAAGAAATTCTGCAGGTTACGGGATAATATTAAGACTTTTATAAATATTTTGTTAAAATTGTTTTTCTTTGAAAGTAAAATGATCCATACCCTTTGAGCAACGAAGAGTTCATAAACCACACACACTCCTATAACAGTAATACCCTGCTCCTTACACAACATCGCTATAGTAACCAAACCAACAGTAGTAAATAGTGGACCCCAAGCTGAAATTACAATATATAAAATTTAGCCAATTTCAAATTTAAATACATGTACATATTTTCCAAATGTTTCAATATTTAGATAAAATAGCATAATTAATTTTTAGCTGATTTTTTAATACATTAAAACCAAATGTGTAAGTTTCATTAAATAAAGTTCTAAGTAACATACTTTACAAGTTTTATGCATAAAAATAAGAAATATAGGCCATTATATAAAACAAATGTGTCTGACTTCACAATACTGACTTATTCTGAATTATTTTTTATGCGAACATCTACCATTGAATCAATGTAAATCATTTGGAATAGAAGGAAGGTTTCTACAGTATCAGAATAACCAAATGATCATAATATAACATGTGTAACACACACAATTCAACTCCAACCTTTAAGTGTGGCCATGACCTTGACCTACTACAAGTAACACTGACTCCTATTGGTTAACATTTGTGCCTAGTCATATCAAAATCAATATTTTTTTTTTTTCCGGACTAGGTTTTCCCTCTGACCTCTGCCACCTTGACCGTTGGCCGAGAAACCTGGTTTACATACATGACAATTCTAAACTCTCTTCATAAATAAAGTAGATATGCTCCAGACAAAAAAGTGCCACCCTCTTGCTCGCAAACCAGCCATATATGTTCCAATATGACTTGTTTTTTAAAAAGACATGTAAAAACTTAGCATTCATAATGCATCTCAAAAGTTTTCATAACAAATAAGCAATATTGCACAGATGCTTTCTTTCATTTAAATGAAAATTCATTCAAAAACGCTGCAAGTGTAGAAATAATATAAATGTTGTGATGAAAATTGATGTTGTAAATGCACAGTAATATAATGATTGGTAAGCTTACCAGTATCACGATGATAACTTGTACATTTTGCGTAGAACATGAGTGCTGCTATAAAGAAAATAGAAGAAAGAGATTCAGCCCTGCCAACCACTCCCGTCACCTAAATATGATCAGAAAAATAAAAAGTTTAAAAATGTTAATAACACTTTGTTACAAGTAATGTTAAAATGATACACTAGAAAGATTGATAAATATCTCATAGCTTTGTCACGCATAACATATCATTCTGTTCACTTCTAAAGGAGTAGTGTTTACCACAACCTAAATAAGAAATTTTTAGAAAATCTTTGACTTACTCGGGCCCTAAACTATGGAATAATATCCGCATTTCAATTCATAAATCTGAAACTATTGAAAAATTTCAAGCTTCCTATATCAGTTTGAATTTCACATAAGTATGTTGATCTTGCATAGTTTTAGTGTAAAGTATGTACAATGTACATGCATTGTATTTTGAATATGTATTGTATTTTGAATAAACATTGTGTTTTTGTAAAGTAATATCTTTTGTGCTTTCATGTATGTATTTTGAAAATTTCACTGTTTATGTAAATTATGCGTATTTTGTAAATTTTGTTTTTGAGGCTCACATGGAAGATTGGGTAACAAAATGTGTAGCCTCAGTAAATAAAGACTTTACTTACTTACCTACTATTCCTGTCTTAGTAATCTAGTATAAAACTAATATCAAAGTACACAACATCTCATCCCCATAAACATTAGTGTATCTTTGGTAACTTTCTACTATTTACTTCAGGAGGCTTTTAAAATAACTTATTAAGTTGAGGGATACAAGTTTGATATGGAATAAGGCACAAAGGTAAAGCCGAACACATTGACTAAAGTGTGCAGGAGACCCTCGCTTTCCTGTGACTTTTTTTTTAAGTTTTGCAAAGGAAATACATTAAAGTGTTATGGGTTTTGGAGACTGGCTAAAATTTAGTTTTTCAAATCAATGTCCGCCATTTATGTGGATATGTCAATGATAGCAACAGAGTTAGGGTAGCTCCAATATTTTCAGAATAATGTAACTAAAATTCAAAATTTTTCCATGACCTATTTTAATCATATTTTATGTTTGACTATTTAAAATGTGATCACAAATAATAAAATAAGATAAAATAAAGAGCTATAAATGAAAATCAATGATATAAAAATCAAGTTCAACAAAAAATGAACTATAGCACTAGAATAAGTATTTTTCAGATCTTTGTTAATTTAAAAGATAAACAACTATTAAAGAATATTCAAAATTACAAGAAATATTAAAAAGAATTTATACAATTAAAAATAAATAAGTCACTGGCATTGGACACTTCACTTGTAGCTTATATGTTCTTCTCTTTAGTTTGTTTCCTTTGAAATAACCAGTACTGGTGCTATATGAAGAAGGATGTACAAGAAACAGGCAGGGCTTTGACCCATAACCCTGTGACTTTCAAGTGAGTCTGACAGGCAGAACTAATCAAGGTGCATGCACCAGTGAAATATGGAGGCTTTAGGTGGTAGGACTTTAAGTTTTGTGACAAACACAAAAACAATATGCTATTGATAGGAAGACACAAAACAACTTACAGCTTCAGTGTGTATTGGATGAACAGCAAACAACATGGCAGCAACAAAAGAAGGCAACTCTGGTATAAACATATTGCACATTCTAGAAAAAGAAACATATGTGGTGAATGATACTTTATAAGTTTATATATATATTCACTGAAGATGCAATCTATATTCTCAAGCATGTTTTCAAGGTTTCACTCTCAACCAAAGGTGGAAAGCTTTTGCTAACTATTTAGAGCCAGTGCAGTCTGACCAGGCTCTATTCTGTTGGTAGCTCAATTTTTGTGTCTTTAATCCAGACTATTTAAAATTCAAATAGGGCCAAATACATTACAAACATTCATGTGACTCTGTGTTTTAAATGTACATAGTATTTTATATACACGATAAATACATACTAATTATGTTTAAATTGTTTATAATACAACTTTACTTTGTAATGTTACGGTGATAAACCTATTTTTTTTGGTCAATAACTTCATATATTTTGAGCGAAAGAAAGACTCAGATTGAAAAATACTTACTTCATATACATGATACACACTATGGCATGCAGTATAATATTGAGTAGATGATATGACATTGGTTCCAGTTCGCTCAACATATAGTTAAATCTAAATGTCAGAACACACAATGGTCGATAGGACTTGTGACTCCTTTCCTGAAAAGTAAAAAAAGACCCACATTACAGTTTGACAAAAACAAAAATGCAATCAATATGAGAACAAAAAAATACAGAAGCACTTGTGTAAGCAATATAATTAAAGCTTTATTATTATCTTTGATTTTACATTTATTTTATAGGTTTCAATTTTAACCATTTTTATACTATAATGGTTATAGGGCATGTTTCCTGCTTAACTTATTCAGGATGACCTCAAGACCAGTACCTCTATGCATTGTTACAGGCACAAGCTAACATCTAAGTAGAACCACTAACCTATATGATAAGCTAGCTTGAGTGTCCTCACAGGAAAGAAAATCTAACCCATGGCAGTGAGGGGCAAGAGATTTGAAGAATGGAAACTTAACCACTCACCCATGGATATCTTCATAATGACATTTAGAAGATCTGAATATCATCAACAGTTATAAAAACACATGCTTCTAATATTTATTAGTACTTTACTTTTAAAACTTTATGGTATTACTTCAATTTGCAATTTCGATTTTTAAAACCATGATAAACACACCCGTTAACTGGTTGCAACTTGCCAGTAGATCTGTTGGTTGCAGGTAGAATAAACTTTATGTTAGTATTTTGAAATAAATTGCACCAAATCAGACAAAGCCATAAATGAAATCACAAGACCATACATGCCATAATTTTTAGACTCATTTCCGGGACACTTTTCATTTGGAGGTGGGGCATTGATCAGCAAACAAATTTTTTTTAATTTACATAGTGGCATACAACCTATATTACCGGTATTTACAACTTGCAAATTTAATGACACCATAAACAAAAGACAAAATGTCAATAATTATTAACAGTTTTTCTATCTTTTTTAAGTATTTAGGCATCGTAAATTCAATCAGTCACAGAATAGAATAAAGCTATGTTAAGTAAGGACAATTAGCCATGTCGTTTACCTGAAACATTCGCTGAATCTTGTAGATTTCATCACCTCATATTTAGCGGTAATTTTCACGGTGTTTGACCACTAATAAACTGCCTGCAGGCGGATTAAATTTATACTGGCCAGTTGTTAATTACAGTGTATGACACCTTCGCTCAGGAAGCCACAGGGGGTAAACAATTAATCTTTTAATTGATCAAAATTATTGCCGATAATTGTTTGTTGGACACCCCTCCCAAGCCCACCCCAATGACATATATTTTTCTTAATTCCATATCATCTAAACATTTACAAAAACATTAGTGTACACATATATAAGCGAAAATACATTGACACTCATAAGATGAGCTATAAAACACATCAATTACATTTTTTTGTCACATTAAAAAGATATTATTTTTGTCAAAATCTTCCACCCATATGTCAGTCCCCCCAAGAATTATTTTTGTCAAAATCTTCCACCCATATGTCAGCCCCCCCAGGAAACCATGTTCTGTATCCACCCCTGATAATTTTGTTTGTTTGTTTGTTTAATTTTGCGCCTTTTTCCAACAGTATTTCAGTCATATAGGCGGGTAGTTTCCTAACCATCGTTCCTGGAGAGTTACACCAGTACTAGACTACCTTCCTCCGCGCTAAACTACCAAAGCATCTCCCGGGGATCGAACCCACGCCAGAGAGGTACCTGAATTAGAAGTCATCGACTCTAACCCCTCGACCACGGAGGCGGTACATCCGCCCCTGATAAAATAATTAAAAAATGTAAAATTTCTTAGATTATTTTAGATTTTTATTTTACCGGGACATAAAACATCTCCGGGACAGACACCTTATTTCTGGGAATTTCCCGAACATCCGGGATGTTATGGCATGTATGCACAAGACAACATCATTTCAAATATTAATATAACATACCATTGACATCGGTGTTCCCCAAAAATCATTTAAGAACAGGTTTGATACAGGTGTTCTTGGTCTGAGATCTTTGTTGTCTACAATGGCTGATATGTCATCAAACACAAAACCGCAATCTAGGGCTGGTATGTAACAAACACCCACTGTTACACATAGTATTAGTGAATATAAGAAAAAATGACTTGAATCTGCTGATTGAGCCATCCTTTACTCATTGAGCGGTAACCTGTAAAAATGTAGATTAAAAGTTACACAATGGTTAAGCAATAAAGATTGAAAAAATTTGTAAGTTAATTAACAAGAGTCAAGATTGTTAAGATCAAATGGAATATACTAAATCCAAGAAAATAAAATTATAACATAAAGTGTATTAATCATTATTTTTTATGTTACTCCCCACTTTAAAAGATTTTGTGTTTGTAAAAATCTTCACGGGTCAGTAGATATTGCAAACCACTTGGCCGAATGACATCCAAATTCCTCGACTGCAATGCACTTATGCATTGACTGGTGTCAGACATTAACCCCAACTTAAGTGTTAACAAACATATTTGTGAGTAGGGCTTGGTAAGAATATAGGGTATGTCTCAACTATATAATTTCATGTTGTGGAAAAGGGTGGGGTCTTCTTTCAAAATGTTTTCAATTCATATCTATTACCAACCTCAATGGTACATGATCATAACAACTGTACAATATACTTATGATTTTCTTGTATAAATATATATGTTCTAACACAAAGGTCTCATAAGATCTCTCATAATAATGCAATAAAATTTGGAAATTACAAAATTGTGTATGTCGCGAAAACCAATGACAGCATAGTATCAGAGTAATGGTCTTCATATATAAACGTCCAAATTACTAATACTACAGTCCAAACTTAAATTGATTATAATGTAAGTATGACGCTTTGGGAAACTAAGTATTGAAAAAGCTTTCATTAAAAATTCATACACATACCCGGTTTCAACGTAAGCAGTCAGGATTATCCCCCTTCCATATAAACATTAAATTTGGCATGACTTCAAAACCCTAATGTAATTGAACCTAATTTTTCATTAACGTGGTAATGCCCGATATTAGACATATAGGAAAAACTTATAAACTGTATTTGTGCTGATATCTATCGTAATAAAGGGCAATAAAACATTATTTTTTTAATCTATTATATCTTATAATGACAATTACAATGATTTAAACTTAAAATTTAAATATATTTAGAGGTATATATTTACAAATTTGAAGTGCAGAAATTTCAAGTTTATCAGATTGTCATAATTCTTATTGATGTTTTTGGAATACTAAAAGAAGATTTCATTCAAAAACCTATTTTGTTAAAATGTAATTGTAAAATGTCGCGTCTTTTTGGTAATGTTTTAGAATTTTAGTACAGATATTAATTTTACACTGACATTATTGTAAATCAAAAAGATATCGAAACCATTGAACAATAAAGCAAACTCCATCAGAAAAATTATACTGTACAAGTTTATGATTATAATTTTTTTTCTCTCACTTCTACATGTATAACCTAATACATTTAGGGAGAGGAACTACAAGTTTTCTTTAGTTCTAATCCCTTTCAATTTTATGTAATAATAATATACATATAACATGTATAAAATTAGTAAAATATTGAAATAAATATGTTTAATCTAACATAACACATTCTGTGGTTAGATCTAACCGATAAGTAACCAATGACACCTATGGCAGGTGGTCAATTCCTGAATTTACTATTATATATCTTATATGATCCTGGCTTTCCGAATGGCGATCCTGGGATTTCCACCCAACCCACAAATAGAACTGTTTAATGATAGTTTTACTAATTGCACTTCTAGTGGAGATTTTGTGATATTTTAAAGTTTGGTAAATTAAAGTAAGATTTAAAATCAGCAGCAATTTTTTTGCTATTGTAAAGCTTTAGCTACAAGGGCTTTGCAGAACGTATAACTGAATAATGTTATAGATATGCATGTATACATGTATGATATCATTCTGCATCTACACTGTATATAATCTTTCTTTACTGTCATATATTTGGCGGCATGGCTGAGTGGTTAACACATTGGACTAGTACTGTAATGTAGAGATTCAAACCCTGTCAGGAGCAAGTCTTTGTTTCCTTGAGAAAGAAATGTAATTGTAAAATGTCGCGTCTTTTTGGTAATGTTTTAGAATTTTAGTACAGATATTAATTTTACACTGACATTATTGTAAATCAAAAAGATATCGAAACCATTGAACAATAAAGCAAACTCCATCAGAAAAATTATACTGTACAAGTTTATGATTATAATTTTTTTTCTCTCACTTCTACATGTATAACCTAATACATTTAGGGAGAGGAACTACAAGTTTTCTTTAGTTCTAATCCCTTTCAATTTTATGTAATAATAATATACATATAACATGTATAAAATTAGTAAAATATTGAAATAAATATGTTTAATCTAACATAACACATTCTGTGGTTAGATCTAACCGATAAGTAATCAATGACACCTATGGCAGGTGGTCAATTCCTGAATTTACTATTATATATCTTATATGATCCTGGCTTTCCTAATGGCGATCCTGGGATTTCCACCCAACCCACAAATAGAACTGTTTAATGATAGTTTTACTAATTGCACTTCTAGTGGAGATTTTGTGATATTTTAAAGTTTGGTAAATTAAAGTAAGATTTAAAATCAGCAGCAATTTTTTTGCTATTGTAAAGCTTTAGCTACAAGGGCTTTGCAGAACGTATAACTGAATAATGTTATAGATATGCATGTATACATGTATGATATCATTCTGCATCTCCACTGTATATAATCTTTATTTACTGTCATATATTTAGTGGCATAGCTGAGTGGTTAACACATTGGACTAGTACTGTAATGTTAAGATTCAAACTCTGTCAGGAGCAAGTCTTTGTGTCCTTGAGAAAGAAACTTTACATTCTTTGCTTATTACTGGTTGGTTCCAGAAATTGTGTGTCTATAAGCTTATAGCTTCAGACAAAATCAAACTTAAAATAAATTTAGTATTAACTAAATTTTATAAACTTACTTTCAGTTATAAAAAAGCTATCTTCTCAGTGCTACAGAACCAATCTGGATAAAACCATTCATCATTTTTAGGTGAACTTTTAAAATCTGTAGAAACAGTATAGACCATGATCAGATGGTACAGACTTGTTATATGATCTTGGTCGGCACTGGCCACACAAGTAGAATCTGTTGCTGCCAGAAGGCTATGAATTTTAATTTACTGTTTTGTTACTGTAATACATTCACCCTCTTTAACTGTCAAGCAAATAATTTTTTTTAAGTTTTGAGTTTGTGCAAAAGAATTTAATAAATGAATAAAAGAACAACAGAAATACAGATCAAAATTGTACAATTTATTAAATTCCATAATTTTTTTCTTCAGTAAAATAAATATACATGTATAAAACAAATTGGTGATGATTAACCAATATTCATGATTTTTTTATTGGTTGAGTGACAATTTCACTGAATTAGTTCTATGAAAATATTATTAATTAAAAAGAAAAAAATCACCATACTTTTATAGAGATAGAGGATGCAACAAAACAAGTTGATGACCCTTCTAAAGGTTCAAAAGTTTTTCTTTTTAGCTAAATGGTCATTAAAATGGGGCTAGTCAAGTTTATTTGAGCATACATAAAGTTGAAAGGTGACCATTTAAGGATACTAGGGAGCAAGTTTTTCATAAGTTGCCCTTTATGCAATTCCCAGAATACCTAGGTCAAGAAAATATGCACAACCATATTAATTAAAAGTTTTCATAAAGGGCAATAATCATTCAAGATCTGTGCTTGAGTTATATATCTATGCCAGTTACTTAATACAAGTGTTATAAACCAGCATGACAGTTATCTTCAATAATGATCCAAAAGACAAGTGTAAAGTTTCAAGTGGACACTATCAGTAGTTAAAAAGAGCAAAATAGTTTTTCTCTGAGCATTCTGTGCTCTGATGAGGTAGGAAATAAAAATACATACAATAAAAATATGTTTATACTGACATTCTTATGCAATAGCACAGTAAAAACACTTTATATGGACAAAATGTTCTCCAGATCATTTTTTTCTTTCAGAATTAAGACAAAATCTTAAACACGTAAGTTCTATATTGAAAAAAAAATCATAGGACAATATTATACACAATATCAAATCAGTCATATATTTTGTTCTAAGCCATTTTACCATTGTATATATTGAATGCATGTATATTATGTACCCTGTATGCTTATGAATAAAATATGTTAAAACTAAAACTAAATCAATTGTTTCCATAAAAATATTTTCTGTAAATATTCTAACAACAGCATCAAGTGGTTTGAAATTAAACATAATTAAGACTTTTCAAAGCTAAATGTTCTGATATTATATAAACTATGACTTGCAAATTTCTCAAAATGCCAGGTAAAGAAATGGAAGAGGCACTTAAAAAAAAAAAAAAAAAAAAAAAAAAAAACAAGATATTTTTTTTTTAATTTTAGGCAGTTTTAAAAAAATTATTTTCTTATTATTTCATGCTTTCCAGTGTTTTATTACAATATATCAGATGATTATATTCTGATAAACCACTAGTGAAATTTATAAAATATAATTTTCACTGTAGCCAGACTATATCTGAATGCGAATGAAAGAAAATCATAACTAAATGGAATAACAGGCAGAAATGAATGCCGCCATACGTAAGTATGCTTATTTAGGAAAAGAAAGTCTATGTCATCATACATCATGTTAAAACTCTAACAAAATTAGAGAAATTTAACAGAACTATATTTCAAAACTGATGATGTGACGTCATGATATAATGACGTCACAAAGGAGAATGCGCGACGTTACGCGACAAAATCAGTAAAAAAATACTTAAAATCACTTAAAAAGCATAAAATAAAAAGAAAATTTATTTGTTTTACATATAAGATAATGAAATATATTTCATTCGTGAACACCAGCTATTATATTTTCACTCGTGGCTACGCCACTCGTGAAAATATTGCATCTGGTGTTCACTCAGTGAAATTATATTTCAATCTTACATGCAAAACAAACAAATATCCTCTATTTATCCTTATTATTTTGCTTTAAATGAATGTTATTTGCATTTTACTTTATTTGCAAAATTCAACAATCCTCAAATCTAAGAACCTATAGAACTGTCTTTTTTGACATAACCATAAAAATTCATGAAATTATGTGCGTTCCAGTATTTATGTAGTCTATACAGTTTTCTGTTTAAGTCTAGTTCTTTTATATTGAAGAAACACTTAAAATACCAATAAATAGCTCTAAATTCAAAGCAGGGCAAGTGTTTTTTGTTTTTGGTCCGGTTTTACATCACACCAACACCGTAAAGACCATGTGGCATCTTTCCAGCTTTACTGGTGAGACAGAGAAAGTTCATCTTACAATTAGGGTAGTGTTAGAGGTAAAATAAATGCCTGAACAAAGATGATACATGTAACTTCCTGTACAACCAGTGCTCCTTACATGTTTATTTGTGCATGTCTAGCTATTGTACATGTGTAATAAGTTATGCAAGATGGGATAATATCACAGAGTAATTGTTCAATGTCAAGTTGCTACAACTGTAGCAATTATCAAGTATTTTCCACCAGACTATATTTTCCTTCAAGCAATTCAACTGTCTCTTTCTTTGCACTGAAATAAACAAAGAGAAAAATATTGACTTTGCCATTCTGTACAAAGTTGCTGAAATGCACAATGCATTATTAAAGATCCTGTATGTTGTAATTAGGAACAGGGTTCTCGGGGACGCTTATTTCGGCGTCCCGGTACGCATGTTTATTACAGCTGGACGCAAATATTTCAGAGCAAGGATTCCACGTACGCTTAATTTTGCCTTGGGACGCATAAACATTGCCGATTGTTTACAACCACTAATACACAAATTCGTCAGCGCGTGTCAGTCCATAGGTAGGCGGTCCTATGCACATCGACCCGTGAAGCAATTAGCCAATCAGCGATAACGCTTTCGATCATTATCACGCAATAGAGATCAGACTAATGTATGTACACGCGCTGTAGGTGTAATTATCAGATAATATAACACGAGATATATTTGATCAACAGTTTATTGGAAATTAGCAAATTTTACCGACAAAAGGATAAAAATATTGACTATTTACGCCGCAAGTTTAAAGACTGTTTTTTCAAATTACAAATGAGTGTAATTTTGAATTATTGTCGAATATTTTCGGCATTTTCTAGGCAAAATTTTGCTTTCGTTTCATTCCTTCAAAAACGATCTATAAGAGTATTAAGAATTTGAGATATTATGCCGAAATTCCAGGGCAACAAACCAAAATACACATACGCTTTTCTTTGATATTTAGATTTTATCAGAAAATTGATCCCGAACATCGGCAATTTCACTTCGCCAGAAACTCTAAAATTTCGCAAAAATTCTCAGTTTCCAAGCCAAACATGTGAATGAATTGTTCCTTTATTATTCAATCAACATTAAATCTTTAAATATCGATCTTCAATTTGCCCCCTTTTGAAGATATTTGCTAAAATAATTGTCGATCGGATGAATCTCTTACACACTGTGTGAAGCTGTACACGATTTTCCTATTCATTCCGCAAAACGCTGCCTATATACATTTACGTTTTTTTTACAAATATAAACTTTTTGTCTTTAGAGTGGACTTATTTTACCAGAATAAAATTTGATTTGGTATGAAAGTGAAAAATAAAAAACGATTTCCATGTGTTGATGCATTATAATGAAATAATTTCAAAATAAATATTAATATCAAAACAATAATTTTACTATGTAGTTCAGAGTTTGTTGTGAATAACTATAAACTTTGAAAGTTTCTTGAAGATTCAAAATATCAGCAATGCTATTGTGAGCATTAAATAACTAATCTGTAAACATATTAATTGCGACGCGCTTTTGGACTCCAACTTTTTCAGGGTTGGGAGTCCATGGACTCCATGTTTTAAAGTCCTAGTGAGAACCCTGTAGGAATGTAACAATTTATATATGTGAATAATTATTCTTCTAAAACAATTTCCAAACATCCAAGAATATGTTAAATATGTACTGCAAATGTTTATTCCCATGATACGTAATCAATTAAATCTATGTATTCCTCTTATTGAAAAATTTGGCTTAGACTGTATTGAAAATAGATTTCAAATTACCTCCCTTTATTAACATCAAATGTAAATTCGGTAATATCTTTAGAAAAAATGCTTTTTTAAATTTACATTATTGATAAATCTTCAATTGAGCATCAGATAATGATATAAAACCATATAAAAATCTGAGTTATAGGATCTTTAACTGTTTATACTGTATCACTGTGTACATAAATACATGTAGTTATAAATTTCTTGACAGGTAACATGCCCTTTCAAAAGTGATAATTATCGAAGCAGTTTCAGCAAATAACTGCATATCCATGGTCATGTAACAAGTCATACAAATAATATTTGCAGCAGACATGTATACAGATAATAGTCATCATTATTAGCCAATGAATAATTGTGTTGCAAACCTTAAGCTTTGAGCTATAAGAACTCGTATAATCTCCTCTTTACAAAGTATGTAACTTTAATTCAAAACAACTTCAATTTATCACATATTGACTAGTAAACTTAGGATTGCTTCTATGTGGGTTCAAACCCAGTCAGACACAAGCTGTTGTTTTCTTGAGCAAGAAATTTTACTCTTATTGCTTAGTATTGAATAGTTCCAGGAATGGACACAAGAGTGTCCATGAGCTTAAGCTTACTACAAAACCAAACTGAATAATTCCATATAAACTAAGTTAACATCAATACCTTCCATCCCTAATTATTTTATATTTTCCTCTGACAGACAAATCTACAACAGTAGAGCCACGCCTTGAAAATTCTGTGTCTCCTAGTTGGCCTCCATCACATATCAGATCTAACTTGGGCCACAGTTCCTCGAATTCCTGAAATATAGACAAGGCTATAGGTAAGAAACCCTAATATTAATAATGAGAAATAAATAACATGTTCTTTGATTGCCACTTACTGCAAAACACCAGCAGAACAGTATTAAGTTGGCAACATGTTACAGTTCCAGTCTAAAAAGTTGTGCATACATTTTGTAACAAAATTTGCAAAACACAGCCTTTGCTCAGTAAGCAATAAGACAGAAATTTGTTGACAAAAGTCTACAGTTAAACCTCTGAATAGCAACAGACTTTGAAAAACAAAGGTATTGGTTGTTGAAGAGAGAGGTTAAATTCATTAAGAAGTCTTGCTTTTGGAAGAACTGATTTATTGTAGTGAAGAGGCTATTTCTCTAAAGTGGGATGCTGTGCCGAGTTTGCACCGTAAATTCTTTCTGATTGACAACATTCCAAACATCACATGGATCAGATATATATGAGTAACATGTAAGTACACACTAAAAGACCTTAATAATTTACTTTTTCAAAGGGATAAGTTTTCATTTTGAATTTTTTTTTAACTCATCTGATGGCATGTTACTTCAGTTTGGATTGATCTTAAAATAAAACACACAACACTGGGTATTACCTGAATATTGAGAGTACTTTTGGTTGATGATATATTGGCACTTGTAAGTGCTATTGGTCCCCCACATTTCTGAGCAAGATCTATGATGAAAGGATGATTTGGAATGCGAATACCAACAAGGTCTGTACCTGGGTTCAGATCTGTATTTAAGTTAGAAGACCGCTCCAGAACAATTGTCACAGGTCCTGGCAACAAATCCTCCAACAGGTCTTGAGGTACCACTACTTTACTCCACCTGGTTATAATAAAAATATAATTTTAAATAAAACTGATTTTTAATTATTCATAATTATTAATCTTAAAATGATATGAGTTTTTCTACTAAACTTCTCCCTATAAATTTCATATTAAACTTTCTATACATTTCATAAGTAGTGACATGGCCAAGTGGCAAATGTGTCAGACTAGTAATGCAAGAATCACTCTCAGCATAGTTCAAACCCTAATAAGGGCAAGCCATTGTTTCTTTGAGCAAAAAACTTTCCAGTCATTTCTAAGTTGGTTCCAGGAACAATCTCAAGATGGTATGAATAAGCTTATAGCTTAGTTCACAATCAAATAAGAATAAATTCTGTATTAACTAAATTTCATAAACTTACTTTTAGTTATAAAAAAATTATTTTCTCAGGGCTACAGAACCATTATAACTGCTTCTTTATAAAAATTACCATATCAAATTGACTGCAATTAGTTGGATTACCTCTAAGATAAGTGTTTTGACACTGTATTCCTTACAAATAAACACAATGAATCACTTTAGTGTTCTTTTCAACTTTAGACATTTACCTGAATTTTCAAAATATGTGTGAAAAGCAGTTTATTTACTTGTAGAAGTCCTGTACACAGCCTACACTGATTGCTATGGGATTCTGGAGATTCCTTCTCTTAATATTGTATATCCTGCTGATGCCTTCTGAGTTTTGGGCTAGACCAGCTATCCCATACACTGTGTCTGTGGGTACTGTGATGATATGACCATTTAACAAGCTGTCGGCAGCTTGCTCCACCACTCTCTTATGATCTAAAAGAATAAATTTCAGATATTATTCATACTATTGTCAGAAAAATTTTTCTTTTGAAGTAATGTTATTTTATTATTCTCCTCTCCAATATAAACCTTGTAAGTATCATCATTTTGTTTTTGATGATTTAATTCATGAAAAATTTATAGTGATCTTGATTGAGATCATTGACTTTGATTGTGACAGTCATACATGTATATATATGTAACATACTTTGAATTTGTATTTACCAGTAAATATATCAGTAACTTGCTCTTAAAGCGAGTAAATAAATAGATCTGTATATGAGGCGCGTCATGACAAAACCAACATAATGCATTTGCGGCCAGCATGGATCCAGACCAGCCTGCGCATCTGCGCAGTCTGATCAGGATCCATGCTGTTCGCTTACAAACCCTATTACAAGTAGAGAAACTGATAGCGAACAGCATGGATCCTGATCAGACTGTGCGGATGCCCAGGCTGGTCTGGATCCATGCTTGTCACAAACCCACTATGTTGGTTTTGTCATGACGCGACTCATTTCTATTTTTGAAAGAGCAAAATTAGTGGTTTTTAGATCTGAATTTCACTGTTTCAGATGACATTTATGTTAACCACTTGCTCTTTTGTGACCAAATCCATCAACCTTCCTTTTCCGTAAAACCTAAAGGGATAAGTGGGCATACTGAATAAATCATACTATCATGAAACATAATAAGTTTAACAAATATATAACGTTATATAAATTACGGTATGACTAAATACCGAATATGAATTCATATTCGCGAATATGAACGGGAGTACCGAATATGAATATTTTTTTCTTAAAATCAGCTCTTATGGGATTACTTACGTCAACAGAGACTATTAATTACTTGTATCATATGTATGTTAATGAAAGAAAATAAATTCTGATCTTTTGGTTGTAAATTAATTACTGTGATCAAAAAGTTACCCGAATATGAACGAGAATGACGAACATGAACCTTACTTTAAACAGTATATAAAAAAGCTCACAAGAGTAAATAGATATTTCAAACTATAACTTGAAATGAAACTTTGTTTTAACAAAGATGACAGTTTAAATTTGCTAAGTAATTTAGTTACTGCGACTTGCTATACATGTATTGTAAAGATTTAATTCATAATCGTGACAGAATAAGAACGAGGATACCGAATATGAATATTATACGGGCCCGGGCTTTGGCTTGCCCGGCTATAGACTACACGTGTATATTTAAAAGAAAATCAAATAAAAAACAATTAAAAAATATATAGAATTCTATACCTATCAATGAAATTTTTAGTGTCAGTTCTAGTCGGGCGCCGCCATTTTCAATGTAACTCAATGATAATAGGCGGGGTATTCCGATAACGGAACAAATCTCAACTTTTCGGATAAATGATAATCGTCGAGTATTCCGAGTGAAAACGGAAGCGGTGCATGTAATACCGAATGACACCTTTAAAACGGAAAGAATGAAAGGAATTTTTCGACTTCCCCGTTCATAGGAATCCGGGTCAGCTCGGCCCTAAAACGTACTCGGCCCCCGAGTCAGCTCGGCGCTATTCCAACTCGGCACGGGTCAACTCGGCCCACTTATCCATTAATATTTAGGTTTGTGTTAACACTATTTATTCTAATTATTGTTATTATTTATGATACACGGATGTTTCATATTTCTTTTAATATTACTTTACAAACGAAATGCATCTAAGGAAACACATTTTATTAAAATCTATATTAATTTTATCAAATCTGCAAGACAGATAAATAACTTTTTTTTTTAAATATACTTTATTTCAGAAGAAGTACAATGTATAGTTATATAATAAAAAGATATTTCTTATTATTCATTTACCTTAACAACATGCAAAGCAAAGTTAACGTTATATATATTCTTGTAAAGTGGGCCGAGTTGACCCGTGCCGAGTTGACCCGTGCCGAGTTGGTATAGGGCCGAGTTGACTCTTTTCCGTTCATAGGCATTGCCTAATTTCATATTATAGATATACCTGAACTTTGTCTGAAATAGTTTCGTAAACAAAGACTAATATTATATACTTTCATCATCTCATTGAATGAAATTAAATGAATTTAATGCATTGGTTGCAAATTATTATTATTGCATTGGTTGCAAATTATTGTGACCAGAAAGATACCAGAATGACAAGAATACCAAATATGAACATTAATTTGACACTGTATACATGCATATAAAAACAACGCTTATAAAATATACTAGTTATGCTTTAATTTTTCAAGTAACTAATATTCACTATGGTATAATATTTGACCCTAAGCCAAAATTTTATTAAATTCATATTCATATTCGGTTCGCGAATATGAATTCATATTCGGTATTTAGTCATACCCTATAAATTATAACAAAAACTAAATACAAACCGTTTACGCTCAATTTTACGACTTTTCCAGGACTGAGATTCATGTTCCCCGCTCTTGTTGAGTACAAAAATTTTGATAGCTTAATGAAATTTGCAAAACGAGTTGTAACACAACTGAACACGCGCCGCATTTAACTATTTCAGTGTTAATGTTTCAAAAGCATTGCATCAGATGGGCGCTGCCATCTTGTTTTACATATTGTATCCTGGTTTCCTGTTATAACGTAACACTTGAATATCCGCGCTGGAAACCAGTGTATTGACATACTAATCAACGATTCCCGGTCTCCGATCGAAAACGGAAGATACCGACTTTAATTAGTTTTAGAATACTTTAGAGAATAACATAGAACTTTACGATGTCTCTGAATTTCTTTTGTTTACATAAGCGCAGCATACTTTTAGAGCTGATTTTAATCAGATTGTAATTCTTATATAGAAATAAATAAATAAATAAGCAATTTAATCTTATGGTTGAGTAACTCACGAATTTTCAAAAACTGCGAGTTTCTTACCAGTAAATCTCTAGGTAGGTGGGAAATACTGAAAGTGCCTCTGAAAAATCTCAAGGGTGTTACCCAGGATCGAACCCGAAACCTCAGGAGTGACAGTCAGTGGTCTGACCAACTGAGCTATCGCACCACCCATGTTTCATCACAAGTGAAGCAATGTACAAAGACAGAGTCTTTCGAATTCCATTTGAAAGACACTGGCAAAGATTAGCTCATGATATCGAATGGTCGGTCAAAAGCTATACGTACATAACTTATATTTTGGTAAATGTTATATATGCATACCGATTATAAATACATTTTGATTTGATTTGGTTGATGAGTCCAGTACCTTAATTGTTGTAGGTTATCCAGATCCCTTAATTTGGCGGTATACATGTATATGTAGATATATTCTGGTCTTAACAAGGGTCAACCCGCTCATTAAGACACAAAAAAGCATTATGCTACCGACTACAAACCCCGGACGCGTCTCCGTCTTGCCCTAAAAGGTTTCTAATTGAAGCACGAAATCGTGATAATTTACCTTTGTGCATTTTCCACAATCTCTCTGTACACGAGGATAACGCTTTTTGCATCCGAACTTTTCGAACTTGGCACTTAATACGTGCCCTCCCTTCTTAATTTGTGTCCGAGAAGAACATTCAACATGCATTGCACTCAAACTCGAATTTAATGTTAAAATCACAGTGCACGTGCTTATCGTGTCAAAAGTCTCAAACCATAGTAATTGCCTGTTGTAGTCAACCGTGACGATGAAAAATCATTTTCTCTGTAAAAGCCGATAGAGAACTGTATTTATAAAGCTCTGGGGTTTCAAATGTCTAGTTGACCAGTTCATTGAAATATATTACACGTATAATGATTTATTGAGTGATCATTTAATTGCTGTAAATCTACTAGGCAAATCATAAAATAAGAAGATTCAGATTGGATAGATGAATGAATGAAAACATTGTATCAACTCGTGAGGCGTTGAATTCATGAGTAGGATTAAACCCAGACCAATCATAGCTTCTTGACCTACTCAGACAACTTCGAAAAAAGACCTCATATGTCGAAAATAACAACTGTCTTTCTCCCTGAAATAAATTTAATCATTTTTTTCCTTTATTTATTACTTGTACACAACAGCTTGCTAAAACTACCTTATTTATGATAGGTCACATAAGTATAGACAGTTAGATATATACATGCACGATATAAATATCCGATACATTTGACGATAATCGGAAGAATATGTCACAAATTAGCTGATCTTGGAAGACGGAAAATATAATTAAAGGGTATAGAAACAGGCCTATACATGCTAATACTATAAAGGGTATAGAAACATACTGATTTATCTAGTCGTTCAGTCAAATTTAATGTGTAAATTACTGATAAGAAAAGAAAGAATGAAAATCATGTAAAATGCTTGATGCGATTTTAATTAATTATCCCTCTTCCAAGATTTCTATCAGGGTGTAAAAGCGGGTGTGTCACTCAAACGTTGGTGGGAGACGAGACTATAGAAGCACTACATACTTCAACATATAGTTAAAACTTAATATATCTCCTGCAGAGATACTAGAGAACGACTTTTAATGACAAGTAGATAATTTACGCCAGATCTTGTCTCTCACATTTAGATATGGGTATCTATTTGCATAACTACATGCTCATATATTTTACAATGTCAATACCCACACATATTAAGCCAATTTTGGCGAACAACTCTAAATCATTTCATACTCTAAACAGAGATAAGAGGTAAATAAACAAAGAAAACAGTAATTTATTGCATGTAATAAGCCCCCGTTTTGAGTATTTTAGATCCATTTTGAAGTAGGTATAAAAGACAAGATGTTTAGTGAAAAAGTCGAACAAATATAACATTAATGATTACAAAATCATCCAGCATTAAGCAATTGCTAATTTAACAAAAAACATTTTTAAAAGAAAAAAGTGGATCTTTTTTAAAGAAAATAAAGTACGTGTTGAAAACTGAACTACTTTCAAAACCCTAAAAAGGACTTGTGTTCAAGATGAAAACTTCAAGCACAGATTCTGATAAAAAGGAGAAGAAAGATAAAAATGCAATGAAGGAATCTTTAATGTTGCCGTGTACATCCGCCGGAAAAACAACATCAGCATCCATTGCCGAGAAGTCAAACGTTTGGGCAGAAAACAAACTTCTAGAGAAAAAGAGTGTTTTAGATGAGAAACTTCACAAAAGCATAGTGAAAATGAACACAGACAAGTTAGAAATTGTTCATGAACTAACTAAACTCAGGAAAAGTGCATCAACAGGCGCCCTTGAAAGACTGAACAAGCGAAAGGAAGGAAGACAAAGTCAACTTATACATACTGATAAAAGTGCAATGGTAAAATCGTCGTCAAAAGTATCTGTGAAGTCCGATCATTCTCAGGATAACAAGATAAGTGAAGTTGGGCCAGCAGGAACACCACATACAAAGACTAAATCTGAAACTTTGCTGAAACAATCGGATAGTAGAGCTAAGATTTCTATAACACTCGGTGGTGATAGTAGCTCCGATGACGACACTAATGGTGATGGGAATGGGGAAAATCATATACACGATCATAAACACACCTTCTCGGTTACAGCGTGTCCTTTTGGGAGGGAATGTTCTTCGCATCGTTCAGAGCTTAGAAAATTTGAAAATGCTACTAAAAGATATACAAGACTTTTGTCACCTAAGCCAAAAAACGGAAAGTGATTTTAGAAAAGATATACCTATTCATCATGAACGCAATTAATAGATTTTAAAAAGAGGACTTGTTATGAGGACTATTCGAATATGCAAATACTTAACATTTCTTTCGATTCAGTCACTGTTCATGATAATAATTTCGGACAAATATGTGCCTGTACCATAAAGGGAATTAACAATAATGTGTTACTATAAAGAAATTGTATCTTAGAAGTCATGGTTTGCCATGTAATGTATTTAATTGACATATATAGAAATCAATTAAACTTATTCAACTTGTATCAAATTATTATATTTTATAGCTTAAATTAAGTATTTTTTGACACTTGGAGCAAAACATGTTTCTTTTTAATCTATAAGTTACATGTAACTCAATAAATCAAAGCTGAGTTGTTCGTTACTTTATTTGCTAAGAAAATAAATCGATATTAATTTAATGAAACCAAGTAGGATTGTTTATTGATATAGAATATGGTAAAAAAAAATGATAAAAGAAAATCAAATACGAGTTGCTCGTTACTGTAGAATATCATGTTATTGAAAATGATTTATAAGATGCTTTTTAGAGTTTTCATATCGACATGTAGGCAGAATGAAATCCGTTTCATAAAATTCATTAGATCTTTGCATGATCTTTGGAGACAAAAAAAAATAACATTTTGAAATATTAACATTTTAAATCGCCGATCTCACTCTTGAGTTATCTGGGCAGATAATACACAACGAATAAATGTACCTGCTTTTAAATAACGTCTTTGTGCAAACAGTTAAAACTTGTAAAGAGCAGTTGGTTTAGTTTTTGTTTTGTTCTTTACCTAATAGGTAGCATGAAATTTTGAATTGTGACCGATAATAAAATGAAAAACATAAACCAAAAGTAAACAAAAAGATTTTTCTGACTTGTGAAATCTTTATTTGAAATAACTTAAAAAAAGTTCAATAACTAGAAAGCTAGATCGGCATCTCTTATTCCTTTCCGTTTACCGTATTCTAAGATCATGGCAAAGTTAAATAAATTCTATGAACCAGCTTTTATTCTGAAAACTCTAGTAAACGTCCCGAATGGATGCAATAACAGATAACACGCCTATTGATCACGATATGGATATTTCGTAACCATTGCAGTCCTGTTTTAACTTTGGAACTTTGTATTGAGCATGCAAGGGGTTTGATAGGAAAAACTCTATAGCAAAGCAGTCAAAAGCGTTGTGTCTAGTCAGAAAATTAAAAGTTCAGATGGCGTAAATTATTTTGCCAGTAACCCTTATAGCCTTCTGGTTGCAACTGAATATACACATTCGACCAGTGCAGACCAAGATCAGCTGGCACATTCATGCCGCCTTTTCATGATCTGCACAGTTTGATCGCTATTCAGACAAAACTTATTTTGAATTTTTCCAAAAGATGGGGAATGATTTTGTTCAGATATTTAACGTGGTAATGTTTATGAGGGAACTTCTCATGGAAATTTTAATTTCTAAATCATATTGCTGAAACAACGTTAAGTTTTTACAGAAACTTATAGGGCGTCCTTGGCCGAGTGGTTAAGGTTGTTGACTTTAAACAGCTTGCCCACACCGCTGAGGGTTCGAATCCAGAGAGCTGAACTTTGAATTCTTTCACATGAGGAAGCTATCCAGCTTGTTTACGGAATGTCGGTGGTTCTACTCAGGCGCCCGTTCGTGCCTGAAATAATGCACGGAAGGGCATATGTGGTCTTCCTCCACCAGTAAAGCTGAAACGTCACCATATGACCTTTACTGTGTCGGTGCTACATGAAACCCAAACAAACAAACAAACAAACAAACAAACAAACAAACAAACAATTATTATGCTACAATTCCTTTATTACAAAACGCATTCTAATGATTATATTTAATTGTGTCTGGATCTATCGTGTAATTTTGATAGAGCTTTGCTGATACATGTAGTTTTAAACTTTAAGAAAATATTAACAGGGACGTATATTATAC